GGGGCGGGGTGTTGGGGGGGGCGTGTGTGTGCGCGCATGCTCAGGGTAAGTAGTTGGTAATAATCGAAGTCAAGGTGGGTGGAGAACGTAGAATGTAGAGAAAAAGCTACTTTGGGGTTTGTCCTCCTGCTCTGGTACTCTCCTGGCCTGGCTCTGGGCTGCCCTGCTGGGTTATGATTATGTCTCTCTTGTCCTTTAACAAGACTTCTGTTTTGCAAGGAAGAGGTCACACCCAGAGACGCCCTGGTGCCACCTGGAGGCAGCTTCAGGAACGCAGGGTACCAATCAAGGACAGGGTGATGAATCAAAGTGGGGAGGGCAGACAGGGGGCCGTGATGGGGAACAGTGACTGTGGCTCACAAAGGGGAGAGTTATGAGGTACAGTGTGATAGGAGCAGAGGTGGGGGTCAAAGATTGGGCTGGCATGGCCAGCAGTGATGATCACAATGGGGCCTCACAAAGGAATTCAGTGATGGGGCAGAGATAAGGGACAGAGATGAAAACTGCTACCCATGCCAGTCCCTATGCACTGGGCACAGGTATGGGGAACATGGGACAGGAATGGGGAGCCGTAACAGGGACCATTATGCAGCAGAGCTGGGAAACAATCCTTGGGGGACTGGGCTGGCTTGCCCACCACCCTGCCCCACGGTGCGCATACCCAGGCAGGACCTCACTTCCCACCAGGGGGTATCTGGTTTTCCCAAAAAAGGAGTACAGGACTGGCTGTGGGGATAATTACCCTGAACCTTGGTATTATTTGGGCTCTCCACCAGAATGGCTGGATCCAGAACTTTGAAATTACCTAAGAAGCAAGCCTGAGCTTCTGGCTTCATCCCAGGGCCTAACCCCCCTTCCTCTGGGCCTGACCTCTCCCTCAGTGGAAGTCTCGATGTCTTAAGTAATGCTGCTCACAGATGAGGTCACTGACTCTGTGGCCAGGGGCAAGAGGAATCCCAGGAAAGAGGCCTAAGCAGTTGTGGGCAAAGTAGCGGTACACGTGCCAGAAGTGGCCATGGTCCACTGAGCGCTCAAGGAGCAGAGCCAGAATGTCTGGGGATAGGAGGGGGTCCTTGGGTCACGAGGGGCAAACATCACGGGTGGCCATCAGGTCAGGAGGCAGAGAATAAGCTTTCAGTTTTGGGCACTGGGTCACCTTGAAAGTCATGATGAGGTGGGTAAAGTAAAAGGTATCTTCTAGGTCCAGCTGGTGACATTCTCAACACCTGTAACCACAAGGGCTGGTCAGTGGCCAGGCCTTGACCCTGATCCCAGCCCTGAACACATGGGCACACAAGGACCCTCAACACGCTCTGCTTGCCACCAGGTCCTTTTGCTGCCAGGACCACTCTGGGAGATCACATTCTCAATGCCATGGCTTTTCCAGTCCCGAGAGTCACAAAAGAAGCAATTCTCAGCATCCTGGAGGAATGCCCAATGAGACTGACTAGGCAGGAGGTGCCTGGTTGGCCACAACCCCCTCCAAAATTTCACAGCACAGGCCTCTCCCTCTGGCCCTTTGTCAATGACCTGAACTCCCACAGGTGCTGAACCTGCCCAAGAAAATCCAAGATGCCATCTCCAGAGCCCGTACCCTCCTCCCTACCTGTAGGTTACTGACAATGCAGTAGAGTTCAGGGCCATGGAGGCCACAGGTGGATGAGGTTCAAAGGTTCTGGCCACAGCCAATAATCAGGTTGCTGGTAGGTGGGTAGCAGCTGCCGCCTGAGCAGCCGGGTGGAGGAAGTTTGTCTGGCACCTCCCGGGCAGTTGCTCTGGGAGCCTGGACTGGGAGGGGCAGGGTCTGAGTATAGAGATCCTAGGGGTACACCCCCCACCTCACCCCATCCCACAGGGAGGCCCGATGATTTCCTCTCCCCCTCCAGATGGCTCTCAGGTAGAGACCACCTCTCACCCATTGGTGGCAGCAGCAGCAGAGCTGAAAGGAGGGGCTAGCCCGGCTGGGGGTCCTGGGCTGTTGGAGCTAGAATCAGGCCAGAGAGAGAGAATACAGAGTGTGCCCCTAGCTGGGCTGCCCTTGAGGATCTGAGTGCGGCCCTCAGGTCCTTCCCCATACTCACATGGTAGATGAACTCAAGGATGCCAGAGGCAAGAAGCATGCAGGGTTGTGGAGTCATGGTGCAGCTGGAGAAGGGTGGGGGGGGTGTCCCCAGAGCCTGGGAAACCAAGAGAGGCCGTGCCCAGGGAAAGGATATTAATAGCAGTCACCAGATGCAGAAGAAAGGTGGGGAGGGTGGCACCAAGAAGCAGAGCTTCTCTACAGGTCCGCCATCCAACGCAGCTGCTGCTGGTGCAGCCAGGGTTCAGACTAACCCTCAGAGACAGAAAAGATCCAATTCTCATTCAAATGAGGCTTCCACCCCTAGCTCTGAAAGGCTGTTCATCTCCAGGAGCCTCTGGGGAATGCATCCCCCTCCCCACCAGCCCCAGCCACTGCCTTTCAGGCTGGGCAGACAGTGATGGATTGGCAGATGGGCAGGGAGCTAGTTTTGTTCAGGGCTCAGGGCTCTGTCCCCTCTCCAAAGCAGGAAGAACCAATAATGTCTGAACATACAGGACCCTGTTGGAAGACATGCTGAGGCTGGACCTGGGGATAGAGCACTTGGAACCCAGGCAGAAAGCACTGAGAGGCAGTGTGGAAACTCTCCAGGCTCAGAGACCGCAGCACTCCACCCATCCAATATAATTCCTTGGTCAGTGAGGGCTCTGTGGCCCTACAACCCAGAGCCACCCCGGCCCCTGACTCAAGCCCCAACCCCTTGCCACCAACTGGGGAAGTCGACGATAGTCCCTCTCCTGAAAGAAGCAGAGAAAAGAGTAGGCAGAAGTACTTCAGCCGATTTAGGCTCCGCCCTGCCCCAGACAAGCCCACACAAAGCTCCAAGGTTTCAGCCAGAGTAGACTGGAAGACAAGGCCAGGCTGTCTGCACCACCCCTTCCCTGGCCTAAAAACCTGCAGGCTGCAAGTTTCCCCACAGAGCCACCTATTGTCCTCCTCCAAGGGAGCATCCAGATTATCAAACCAGGGCAGCCCCAAGGGGAGGTGTCCCACCTTAGAGTGGCTCTGCCCCTGCCCTCAGGGGCCTGGAGGCTGCCCTTCACTCACATCCATGACCTTCCCTGGGCTACCAGGACCCTCTCTTTCATTCCTG